TGTGTGTGTGTGTGTGAGGGGGGAGGAGGGGGAAATATATTTGTTATTTGCTCGTCAAATTTAAGGGTCACCACCCAAAACATGATCCTAGCCTAGATTACAATACAAAATACAAGCGTGACCTTGAATGTCTCCAAAGATTGAGCCAGACTTTGGTTTATCATGATTGCGAACAAACCTGACATTGTTTATTGTATTGTTGCAAGATCATGGTGCTTATTTATGGAAATATTAGGCCTATACAGTGAAACCTGATATAACAGGGATGGTGGGACCAGAGAAAAAGTCCTGTTACATCAGATCCCTGTTATATCAGAAATGCAAAGGAAGTAAGCATTGGCGGACTAATCCAGCTGTATTTATTCATTAGGTGAGCATGTAGCTAAGCTTAGGGCTAGACCGCAGCCCTCTCTCGCTTCACCTGTTGCGTGTCTGTTTCCGCAGTTTTATGAAAAAAACATTGTTTAATTCAGTTAATTTTAACAAAGAATGATAAAGGAAAATAATCAAAAACTATGTCCCCAAAAATGATCAAATTTGCTAAATTATGCGGGGTGCATAGATTTTTTAAACCACGGGGACAGGCCTGTGCTTGTAGTGGCCTGGCTTGCGTGGGCTTGCTCCATCCCACTGCGTTACTCTCTCTCTCTCTCTCTCTCTCTCTCTCTCTCTCTCTCTCTCTCTCTTACTTTTTACACATTGCGAACCTTTGTCCTTGTTATAAACGATTGGGCTCTTATGAGGCCCTGTTATTGCCGATAACTTTCATTAGAGACATAGAGTTGGAAAAAAATGACGATTTTAAAAAAATCCCTGTTATTACCGGGCCTGTTACACATGGTTCCCACTTTATACAGGCCTATGCAAAGAACTGCACTGCAGTTCGAAGTCTTGATATACAGGGTGATCCCAAAAAAACTTTACAACTTTTTTTATGAATACCTCGCGCAAAAATTGTCATAGATTGCTGTGATTTGGAACAGACATAATTCATTAAAAAAGAAGTTGTTTGATAAAAAAAATCCACGAAGAAGAAACATATTTTGAAAACGGAAACGGCTAAAAGAAAAAAGCACCCCAAAAACGCAAAGTTCACCATCCAATGTATAAAAATCTTGTAAAGGAAGTCGAGAAAAGATTAGTTGACCTTTTTCTTTATTTTCTCTTTGACATTAATTTTCCATCCACTTGATATTTAAACAATATTTAATTTCTTTCACAGAGTTGTAAAAACCTAATGATTTCATTCTGAAATTCCTAGAAGCAGTGCGCCACATTCCCTCCTTTGGACTCGACACATTTTAACGTGTCGTTCCAAATGTTCAGTGGCGCCCTAACACAAGGACCTGCTAAACCATGCGTTTTTTAAGCCATATACATTGTACATATTCACTAAGAAGTGGCTTCTAGAGACAATAGAGTGGGGTGCACAATAGACAGCATTTTTGGAGTTAACATATCCCGCAGGGTGAAAATGGGCTTTGCACTAACCCAAATGCCATCGAGGAAATGATCCCTCTTTACATTATTTATAAAACAATCGAAGAATCTTGAACACATTGCCATGCTCTGATACATGTCATCTCGGCCTAGCGAAGAAGAACATGGTAATGTCGTAGGTTAAGAACTGCCATGAGAATGCAGACTGTTGATGTGCAGGAAAGTCCTAGCTGCAGATCGTCTACGGACAGACGTCTCATGGGACTCGACTACTGAAATCTGCACTCTGGTGACGTTTAAAGTTAAAGGGCTGCGCATGGTGTGTGCTCGACCTGAAGTGGTCATTTTTTAAAGAACTTTTTAGTTCTGATTCGCTGTAGATCCAAACTGACGGAACTTCTCTACTCATGACGCCAAAGGTCTTGAGGGCACTTTCTTCACGCCGTGCGCAGAATTTACGAAATGTCAGGTCTGGCGAGTTTGTGGAGAGGTAATGGTCAATACAAAAAGCTCTCTGCTCTTTACTAAACGTAGCCATGATCTCAGCAGGCAAACTCAATTTGGGAAAAATAATATCTGCAGATTTCTGCTGTAGCTTGCAATATGGCGCGATTGTTGCAACTTTTAGTGGTAGGCCTAATGCGAACTGGAGCGTCAGGCTATGAAAATGGCGACAAGGCGGAAAATGGGTTGTTTTTTTAATGCGCTATATAGAGCAAACAAAACCATTCAATGGACTCATCTAATATACATATATCAGAAACATTCCTTCCAAACGTTATGTTCAAATCTGAAACGCAAAACTTCAGTATGGAGGAAGATATTTTCAAAACAAGTTGTAAAGTTTATTTTGGATTACCCTGTGATTGGGAATTCTCATTGTTCCGTACGGAGTACCCACGACGAGTCGGGCGACTGGTTGGCGATTGGTTTGTATGAGAGAACTGATCCCCCCATGGGCACTCCGTAATCAAACCGAAACGCGTTTGTTTTTTAGGCGACGAGTCGGGCGATCGGTTTGTGCCACGATACATGTAGCCGCTTTTTGCCCTCAATGTGGCTAGCAAACCGAACCGAACCGATCGAGCCAATTAATGGGCACTGGGTATTAGTTGCCTCAGAATGAGAACTAATCTACTAGACTAGAATCTGCTTCGAATCAAAGGTAATGCTTTTCTATTTCTTGTAATTGTAATGCTTTTCTATTTCTTGTAATTGTAATGCTTTTCTATTTCTTGTAATTGCCACCTCGAAATCTGGACAAGAAGGATGAACTGATGCTGGTGGTGATCGTAGAGCATGACAATAATAGGTCAGCAACCAAGGACAGCACACTTAATGCTTCTTCAATATATGACCTACCTTTTATGTGGTCAGTGACAGGCTGACTGGATACCCCTACCTCGCTCGCTACTTTCAACTAGAAGAACTAGGTCTAGGGTAACGTGTTGCGTGCGAACAGTGACGACAATGAAGACGCGTACGCTTGGGGCCAGTGCAGTCAAAGAGGTAAGGTCCTCGAGTTCAGTCTAGATTACCCGCTGTGCTTGAGGCCATCCAACATCACTGATTATGGACAAACGGTTATGTTAGAATGTGTCTGTGGGGAGGGGTTTCGAGTGTGTGTCACTCAAGTAACTCTTTAACGAGGACGGGGGGGGCGTAATTGTGGTATTACTACATGTATTAACTAAGACTAAGTTCAAGAAGAAAGGGAACGGGAAGCTTGATACACAGGAGTGCATTTACGTCAGCCAGATAGATCAACTAATTACAACGAAATTTCCAAATATGTGAAATTCTAAATATACAGATTTTACGCTCCGGTCAAGACAATTTAGATCATTTAGGATGTGGGATTCGGTCCTGTCTGTCACAGTCAGGACCAACCTTGGCGGAGAGGAATGTTTACGTCCCAACAGGTAGACCGAGGTTGGCCTACATGTTTACTTACTGCTTACTGATCCCATAATCCACCAGGATCGTAGGGGCTCTGAATGATGATAGTACAGAGCCTCGTCAGGTGCCTCCACTTTTCAGTTTTTTGCGAGCGCCTGAGTTTGGGCGAAGGATTTCCCTGTCCACTTCGCAATGTTGTCGGTCCACCTCTTTCTTTGTCTTCCTCTCTTTCTCCTCTCCTGCACAGTTCCCTGAAGAATAGTCTTGAATAGGTCAAACGATCAAGTTACATGACCATACCAATTCATTTTTCTTCGCTTCACAGTAGACGGCAAGTGCAATTAATAGTAATAATAGATCTAGTGGCCCATGTGTTGTTTCACTCTAGATATATCTACTGCACACTTCCTCATTTGTGTTGTGGCCATTGTACGAGAGGTACATGTAATGTATTCGAAAAAAATTCTTTCAACATGGAACTCGAACGACTTGGGGCTTCTGCGTGAGACAAAACACATTACCGCTACACGAAAGACGCCGGTCCAATAGAAGGCCAAATTATGCACAAAAAAAGCAAAATTATGCAAAAATTATGCAAGTTACCGTAACAGTAACACCATTCGCGACATGTTTTGCACTTTTTCAACACGAAGTTTCCTGATTTTCATGTTTTATGTACAGAAAAATTGAAAACAGAACATATCAGTATCAGTAATTTGTTTTGTATTTGGAAAAGAAAACAATACACATCAGTTTTTAAAAATATATATATATAATTATCTCTGTAACTTTCAGCTGTAGATCTATAGAGGAAAGAAAAAAGTTTTTAAAAAAGGACATCTGGACCTCTGATGCTGGCACATTACTAAAACCAGGGACACCTGTTAAACATGAAATATCAGCAGACATGAGAACAACAACTTTTGATGGATTGAAAAATTGAACATGCTCAAGGAACAAAATCACAACCCAACCAAGATCATCTAACAAGGGAAATAACCAGCTTTTCACTTAAATGAGACTTATTACGGTGACTACGTCCCTTTAGTCATATGGCGAAGCGTTAATTTATTGTTTTGTGAAAAAACGCGGATAATCCAAAATTATGCAAATGTTGCAGAATTACGCGAAAAAGCGCGGCCGCACAATCGCATAATCCTACGGGGACAGCCAAATGACCACAGTGGCGTGGTTTCTGAGTGGGTTTGTTTGTTTGAGTAAAGAGAAGCACATACTGCGACACAATGGCAATTTAATTTAGTGCTGGGTAAGACAGATAAACAGAAACAACGGAGGGAAAGTAAAGAGGAAGGACCTACATGTACCAGTGTCTGAGAGGGGCCACCGAGTTTTCTCTAGTCTTCAGGTACCAATGCGAAACGACTCTGAATCTAAGATCGAAAATTCTTACCGATCCCAACAGGCCTACATTATTAATTATTAGATTTATAAAAATGACTGGATGAAGAGGGCAGAATAGTGAATCAAGGATAGTCTCGTAAATTTATCACGAGTTCTCGTTATACCAGTAGCCACAAATTGACCCCACTGCGATTCTCTCAAATATCACTTCAAAACCAGGCTGATTTCGCCTAGGAAACATACGCCACACACAAAGAAACCACAGTTTGTGTTAGTTAAGCGAGCCAACATGATGCTTCTGTGTAATGTGCGGACTTACTAGATCCATCGGCAAGCCAGGAGACAGGACAGCGAGAAGCTCTCTACAACAACTGAGGCTGAAGTCCCGTTTATAATAATTACTGGGAACAGTATGAGATTCGTTTTCTGTGGGGCGTTCAGGGTTCAAATCCAATCCAAGAGAAATCTGAATTACTGCCCATATCATTCCAGAAATAGATCCCCTTAGCCCGCTGCTCATATAATAATGTGTCCACTTGACCATGTGTTATGTTCCAATAATAACAAACAGAACTCAACGCATGGTGAAGTAATGACAACATGGGGAGAAGCACGTGAACGCTGATATATAAAAATAAGGAAACTTAGTTGTTACAAAGCATCTTTAGTTGCACAATGTATCTACCCCCCCCCCCCCCCCCCCAAATAAAAAACAAAAAAACCCCGATCAAAATCCCCTAAGGTAATACCAAAAGACACCTAAAAAAAAAAGAGAAAAGGAGGCCTATTGAAAGACTACACATGTCGAAAGTAGAGACGGGAATCACATAATTGTTTTGTTTGTTTTAGTAGAGGTTTTACAGCGCTCGCAAAGCATAAGGTCATATGAGCGCAAGAAGATTAGGTGTTACAAGAAAGTAACAAACATAAAAAAGAAGAAAGGGAGATAAGGACAATAGATGTTTGATAGGAAAGAAGGAGCAAACCACACCAGAGCACCCGCCAACCACTCACACATTACTGTTTGTTATGAGTTAAGAGAGGCACATTGACACAATAATGGCCATTTAATGCTGGGAAAAAGAAAGACAGACAGAAACAACAGCGGGAAATTTAAAAAGTAGGACCTGCCAGTAGCACCCGCAAACCACCTGCAATCATTTTTTAGTTTTAGTAGAGGGTTTTGCGGCGCTCGCAACCTGCAATCATATTATTAAAAACGACACATATAGTACAGAGTGATGGGAGAAAGATGTAGAGCATAATCTACTATAAAATAGTTTGTCCCAAATAAGAAGAAAGACAATTTTTTAGTACCGTACATAATTATTTATACTACGGTATCAAACAAAGCCATGCCAGACACGAGACATGTTGGTTTTAACATTGCTTTTATTTGAGGAGAGTGACTTTCACACTACCTCTCGCAAGTATACATTGGCAAAATAATTGTTTTTGTGAAGGTGTGTGCATTAAATGTCAATTTTACAGTAACTACAGCCAACTGTTAACTTATTTAAAGCCAGTCTGATTATCCTAACAATAACAGTATGCTACGTAATGTCTCCTGTGCTTAATATTTTCACAAACTCAACAACTTGACATGGAACTTATACAAAGTGATACAACCTCCGGGAAACCATTACAAATGAGAATGAATCTCACACTCGCAGTGTTCAGCCACGCATATCGGGGCTCAAAAGCTGGACATGAACAATACAATCGTAGCAGAAGGCACGAGGCCAGTGGAACTTGGTCACAGACATGCGCTTTGTCCCACGTGGCTACGGCTATGATTCGAAATACACGCCTATACTTTATGCATGGAGTACCGTAAATCATATCAATAATTCACAATGAAAAAAGAAACCAAAAAAAAGGCAAAAATAAAACAATATCTTTTAGTTAACCATCACCCACACACATTTACCATGAGCATATGCAACCTGTGTTCTGAACAAGTAAGACAAGATTTTGCCATGTCTCAACAGCTCATATTAAACAGAAGCAGACTTCCACAAACCATCCACAATAGCATAGCATACATACAAAAGCGGGGCATTGCAAGAATTGTTTCTTCTTTATAAAAAAAAAAACATTTAGAAGGCGGGCTTTGACCCTGCCTGTCAGGGCCAACCTGGGCTGAGAGGGATAGCATTGCATCCCAGCAGAAATACTGCAGTACTTGTTAAAAATTCTCCTTACTTGAGAATCATACTCAGGTCTCCTGTGTGCCACAGCCAAGCGCCTTTATGGCATAGTCCAACGAGTCACACATTAAGAAATAGAGAAGAGATCATGGAATGCCACTGACCCAAACCGTTTTACAACATATGAAGTTCATCAAGTTCCAAGATTACTCGATACCGGTACTTCACGCAATGATCCTCTGTGCTTTACTCATAACACAGACATAACAAACAAAATGAGGATGGTTCAACTGAAATTCTCATGTGACAACTCCATATTTTTCTTATTGATGTTTACATTGCCTTTTGTATGAGTCTGCCTGCCAACAGCATGAACACAGTCAACAGCCATCATGACAAATGTGACAGCATGCAACGAGACAGTACAAGTTCCAGATATTCCAACAGGCACAAGGGATGAGGATAGGAACGCTGACAAAGAAAACAATTAGGTGAGGATGTTACCAGATGCCCAATCAACTGCCAGCTGAACTCCACAGATACTTTCTTCCCCAAAAAGAGAGACAAAATGACAAAAGAAAAGAAAAAGAGAGAACAATTGAGACAGCCTCAGAACAGGCCATGTCAATGTTCCTTATCACAATGTGAATTTGCATATATATATGTAATATAGACATTTTTATTTCCCCAGTCACTGAGTTAGCCAGTACATATGAGCTCTCCATATATTTAGGCTTCCGTCCTATCCATCACATCAAATCACCAAGCTACATATTCACCCCATTCTCGAATCAAAAGACGTTGACATCATTACTACAGTGGGCTATGAATGAGACCCCAGTGCAAATCAATATAAATATTTAGCCATGTCAGATACATGTATGCCAAACTTCCTAAGACATAGAGAAAGACACATAGTAGATTGAAACTGAAGCAAAGGATCATTTGGATTTAGGAAAGAAAGAGCATGTGCAGCGTCATCTTTGCACAGAAACACATTTGTTAAAAAGCTTCAGAACACAGCAGAGATCTGGACAATGTGTGCGTTTGAGGATCTGGAGAAAGCATTTGACCCAGTTGACAGAGACAGGCCATTTTAATCTTAGAAAAAGTTTTATGTATGGCACCATAAATAGGTTATATTAAAAGTGCCAGCGCCAAAGATTAGAGGTGCTTATAAGAGAGTAGTATACAAAGAAAAAAATAAGAGGAGAGATAAGGAGGACAGACATTTGAATAGGAAAGAGGGCGCAACTGGAAGACCATGGAGTGAAAGATGTGCACTGTACCCCTAAGTAACACCAAAGCACAATGTGAAAATAGTCTGAAACATCAAGGGAAACACTGGTTCAAAGTGATTTCAAGAGTCAGGCCATGTCTTTTCACTATTAGTCTTCATAGCCTCCAGCAACTACATGGACAACATAACACAAGTAAACGACAAACCAGAACAACAAAACAAACTGCTCTTTGCAGACAAAACTTGCAACCAGTGACACTAGATGAGGTCTGCCTTGCTTGACAGAATGTTTGTTTCTTTTCAGTCGACCAACTCGTTCTTCCTTCCACGATAATGCGTGCATTGATATTCTGACAAATCTTGAAAGCCCAGTCAATAGGGAACTAATTTTAAGAAACACAAAAAATCTTTTTGTTTTCTATAACATGACAAAATGCCAAACCCTCTTGAGGAGTCAACTGATGTAGCCACTTGTCAAGACAGGCCAGGGTTAAAGAAGTATAATAAAATTGGACAAAGATTCAGGGGAAACAATCATCACTGGATTAGACATGAAACACACTGTTGTCTACAATTTGTTTCATCATTGGAAGTGTCTCGTTTCAGAATATAGCATTCTATTTCAATCATACATTCAGAAGCCATTCTCTTCCACTTTCAGCCCGATGGACACAAACTGTCACAGGGTACGAGCAAAAAGCAAACTTAAGACGAAGTGACGAAAGTTACAAATATAATATATCTCACACAAAGCATTCTTCATGGACTCAGGAAAAACTTTCCTCATAGAATTACAGGATTCATTGACTCCAGAGCACTGCATACTTCAAATTAAATATATGTAAATCAATTTGCATTGAAAAGGCGCAAAAAAAATTAAAGGGAGCCTACATTTAGAAATAAGTCAATAAGAGGAAAATCTCGCATTTGATCTGCCAAGAGCTAATACCGGACAAAGCAACCCTTCTTGTATTTGTACAGTATTTTACATGTCCCTATGCCGTGAGGAGAAAAATTATTTTCAGGAGCAACAGGTTTTAACATAAGTCTGAACCATGAAACTTTTGTCACAGGTAACTTCATTTCGTATAAAATCTAGCATTCCTTTCAGCATTTTAGAATTATTAGAAACACCAACAGAAAAAATAATCCAAAACCCCAAAAACATTGACATAAGCTTTGGTTTCAAAATCAATGTAATAGAAGCTACCTAAAGATCACAACAGTTTCCCCCATCAAAGTAACAAAAGTTACAGTTTAAATCTAGAAAAAAAACCATTGGAACAGCCACTTCTCTTAATTGACAGACAGACAAAACAGAAGAATAGGTTATATGGATAATCTAAGATACAGATTTCTAAATCCTCACTGGCATATTAAGCAGAAAAAACATCATGTCAGCTATAGGCACAGGAATCTGAGACGCCAGTTTAAGTTTCCAGCCCTTTCATCAAGAGAACATTCATACCCCTGTATCTCCTGCTCAAATCATGCTATGCTTGTCCACCTCATTTAACTTTAACAGTAATCAATAATACTTAACACTAAAAAATATGAGACAAATGGAATTTATTCATGTCATACTGAAGCCCATCTGACTCAATCTTGAAATCTAACTCCCTGTCATGGGGAAGGACAATTTTGATTTGAGGGAAAGATATCAGAATAAGTATCTTATTAATTATGAGCTGAATGTGCTCCATTCTCTCCAGCTGTCATTGTTAGACACGGGTACAAGAACTTCTCACTCATCGACAGCCCTGGCAACTCTTGAACTACCCACGGAAATATTTGGGATACTGATCTCTACACACACACAAAAAAAAAAGACTTTCTACTTTCCTTTGCATTTTTTGTTCTTGTATTTAAGTGTGTGTTTTGAGAACAAGAAGTAGAAAGACAGTCACTCACTGTTCAGACAATCCATCACGGATTCTTGTGCGAAATTCACAGGAAACAAGAAAATGGCTACAATTGAATAAATCAACATTTGGAATCAACATATTTAATTTAACTTACATATTTATTTTATTAAAAGATACAATGGAGTCCACTTAAATCAGACACAGATATCCGAAAACAGCAGTAAGCCGAAAGAAAATGGAATCCCTGATTTTGTCTTTGATATTTGAGCAATTTGTCTAAACCCAAGAAAATCTGGCGGTCCCATGGATTTCAGTTTAAGTGGACTCCACTATATGCGCAAACACATACACACATAATATATATATTATCTATGCATTTTAAAGGAGTGAGGGTATTAGACATGTCATGTAAGTAAACATAAATATTCCGGAATCCCTGTTCTCACACATGGGACAAATGACAAACGGGACTAAGGCAAGAGAACGTTCAACATCAAACCCAAAAGCACAAGGAGAGAAAGGAAAAGTGTTCACACAACGGGACTAGCACCAACAGCACCACAAACCAGCAGAGAACATTTTTTTGTTCCACACACTGCACATGCCACGATGATATTTGACATAGCTCTTCCCACTGTTATTTCTAAATCACTTTTTTTTAAAAAATCCACCTGCTAGTTGTACCCGCCTCGGGATAAAACGAACAGCACACATAAAATATACTCAGATTTCTTCCTCATCATTCAACGATCAAGCCAATTCTTCAATCTCAACATTTATCTCCATTACTAAATCCCTCTACCTGTATACATTTCTCTTTCACCAACTTTGATCATAGTTGACAATATTCGCTTACAGCTTTACGCTTCACTTCGCAGCACATTCGACAACCACTTGATTGAGTTTTCTGCTTTTTCTTTTCCTCCAAATTCTGCCAACAATTTCTTATGTTACATCACGGAGCCTTTAACACACTAAAGTTGCCACTTGGCAAGAACAAATTTATCTTTAACAATCAGACCTCTTTTCGCCAAGAGTAAAAGGAGAACTGTTGGCCCACAAAGCTTTTGGGAAAAATTACTATTCTTAGCATACACTGCAATTAAGTAATGTAACTGCAGTCAGAGGTTGTCTCAACCAAGTGTCAGCAACTGTTGTAGACATAAACCTATGCATTCTTCAGGAAAACATGCTGTACACAGCAAAATAACAGGCACTGTTGAGAATTTACACTTGGTGCTTTACACTTTCATGAAACATGTTGCAGAAAGTGACTGTCCAATGGCGCTCGGCTACATGTCTGTTTATCACTGGCCAGAAAACACCTGGACCCTGACAGTAGAGGTCAATGTCCCTGTGCAGGTGACAACTGGACACATTAAACATACAAGATATATTCACCATCAACAGGACTTTGTTTTGCTCAGTACCCAGGTACCAAAGGTCACATGCAGGATACCTGCTAAACTTTTCAGAGACAAAAGAGACTATAAAAAAAGAACCTTGGAATGGATCCTTCCCACACAAAAAAAGACAAATGACATGTAGTTTTTGACATGGTATATGATACTGGCACTGCCAAACAGAAGCTGTTAAGTAACTATTGGATATTGAGGGTGACAAAAACAGTTCACTCGAGCTTACTTTAAAGCACATCATACAATTCACATTTAAAAAGGATTGAACTATGGTTTAACATACCTCATAATTTCTCAAACACACATTCTCTTAAAATAATGCAAATGATCTGCACTCAGAATCCTGGTTTACACATAGAAGTGTAAATAAATGTCAAACTATACAACTTTTCTCAGATAAGCATTCTACTTGACTTTATAAAAGTACACAGCTCTCTGGTTACACTGACAGTGGTGAAATTCTGTCTATAAAATAAGTTACATATGGGTGAGGGGCGGGGGTAATCTATGAGTACATGATGATAGCCTTTACAAGTTCAAACAATCATCGACTACAAAATAAAAAATTAGAATATGGATAGATTGTATAATGACCATTTGCATTGAATAGAGAAATTTTCTGCACTATAATCAGCTCCTTGTTGCAATTTTTCGTATATATTTCTTACATACCTCACTGCCACAGACAAGACCATTAAACACCACAGGCCTTTCACTTGGACAAACAACAAAATCCTCACACCAGCTTGTTCTATAGTCCCCTAAAAACATGTGCATCACAACACAATGGCACTATCACATCAACAGCATTTAAACCAAATATTTGTTATCTTCACTTAGATCACTCTTGACTGACAGACGATGAACAGCTTCAAACTACTTGCCAAAACGCTGAGCAGTGTTGCCAAACTGAACGATGGAAGACAGGAATGACTTGTACGATATACCTTTGTGGGATGGTAGAGATCTGGAGAGGGGAAAAAAAAAACATCAGGAAAATGGATGAGGTTGATGAAAACGTTACAAAAGGAAACATTGTTTTAGCCAGCATCTTTCACAATTGCTCCAAATCAATTTCTGGGGCTTTCTAAAATAAAGCCATTACTTCAATAAATCACCAAGGGACATTTTACCAATATATTTTTTTTGGAAAGTTGTTTTATTATCTCCTTCCTAGATTTTAATTTAAAATACTAATTTGGACACACTCTTTTGTTTTTTCAATTTTCAGAACAGTTAGAAAAAAATAACTTAGGTGCTTGCAGAATGATGCTGATGAAATAATTTCTCATAATGAATTTAAAAATACTTTTTCAAATACTTGCTACAAGGGGGGGGGAGGAGAGAAGAATGGCCAATAAAACCATTATACAGTGGAATCCTGTTATAACGAGAGGGAGGGGACCGGAGCAAAATGTCCGTTATAGCAGGATTCTCGCTATAAGGGATCCAGTAATAAGTTCAAGGGAAACTGTAAAGTAGGCCTAATCTATGAGTTTGGTGTTCTGTGTATTTCCTTTTGCCATCTCCCCTGATGACGATTTTGTTTCAACATGACCTCTAGGTCTTACTTGATCAAAAATCGAATCAGGTTTCTTTCTCCAGCGCTAGATCTAGCGATGTGGACTGACAACTCGGCGTTGGCGACCAGAAAGGAAGGACTCTGGGCTAACTCACCCGCTGTGTTTTCCCCCACCCCACCACACCCTGTGGTGCATTCTGTCTGCTTGCACACGTCGCACATTTGCTCCGTCCATCACATTGCTGTGACCTCTCCATCCCCGCATCGGAGAAGTGAGAGGCATGGTAGGCCTTGATAATCTAAACTAGGCTTACGCTGGCATATCACACGATGCGTTTTGCTTGTCTGCGCATGCCACACCCTCCCTTCTCAGTTGCTCCGGCCTTCATTATTGACGCACATGGGCTCTCCTTTTCTTTGTTTCGCAAGATCACCTACAAATTTCTCAACTGGCGAGGTTTTATTTTATGTAAAATTGGCCTATGCACTGTGCACAGCAGCAGCAATATTCCGCTACAACCGACTCTCATGTTTGTCTGATAGCGCAATAGCAGTATTTTATTTACAAAGGTAAAGAGGAGAAAAAAAACCGGGGTTTTAGAAAAGTGTCTTTATAACAGACTTCTCGTTTTTTCCGGACTCGTTATAAGTGGACTCCACTGTATTATAAAAAATAAACCAGTACGGTACACAATATACAATTGGTCAGCAGCCAAAGTTTTGGGTGTCAAGCGTTCATAACTAAAACTTGCCATCGTAAAAATCAGATGCAGCACACACACACCTCAACCACCTTCGCTGCCTCCAAGACTTGAGACGCTTCCTGTAACAGTAGGCACACACACACACACCAAGACTACACAAAATACACACTGTGGGCACCCCCCCCCCCCCCCCCGAAATAAAAATAATTAAATGAATGGATTAAGGTTTGTGTGAGTGTGTAAAGGAAAATGGTGAGGAGTGGATTAGAATTGATTATTACACATATTTTAATAATTCCCCCCCCCCCCCCAAAACAAAACAAAAATCGACATCTTAGATCAGCTGGAGGGTAGACTGCTTTGATTTGACCTTGCTTGTCAGACTCTACTCATACTCAGAGGGATGCATCACAACAACAACAACAACAACAAAAAAAGCTGGGAAGATGAGAGGACAGATTTCTTTATAACACGCTAAAATCACTTGCATCAGCCCATCAATGAAATGACCAGTGCAGTTTGGTTTGATGGTTTGGCCATCACATGTTCCATTATCAACTCATCGAATGCGAATGAGTCTCAGTTCTCTCATTACTCCAAATTTTCAACTGTGACTATCATATTCCATTAAAGGAATAAATAAAGCTTTAAAAAAAAGGAGAATCAAGAAAGCTCTTGTTAATCCCAAATTCTTCTTATTTTTCAGCACACATGAAAGCTTCTACAGAACAAACAACATTTGCTGTTTTCTGTTTTAGTAGAGGTTTTACGGCGCTCGCAACTGCATAAGGTCATATGAGCGCCAGAAGACTAGAGGTGTTACAAGGGAGTAACAAACATAAAAAAGAAGGAGGGGAGATAAAGACGATAGATGTTGGATAGGAAAGAAGGAGCAAACCACACTAGAGCACCCGCCAACCACCCATCTGCTTTTGAAGAGAGATGGGAATATTCTTACACATATCTTAGCACAGACAAAGATCATATTTGACAACACATCCCTCTCCAGTAAGACACAGAAAAATGTGTCCCCTACTAAAACAGCCAGGAATTTTCAAAAAGAAAAATAATAGAACCAGAGTAATTTTTTTTCTAATACCGTTAAAATTGTCCTAGACGGCCATCCATCATCATCCATGAGAAAAGTGGTCGTCCTAGGAGGACGTCTCAGATAGGGTCATAATATTATGTAACGGGGTAAATGGGGAAACAGTCCTTTGTACAGGTGATTGTTTCGGACAGGTGACCATTAGAGCAGGTATGACAGAGTTTCAAAAACGGTTAGACATTTGACAAAAGACTTACATGAATTCTGTAAGCCGAACTTGCCATGGCAGATATCCAAGCAGGCTGTCGACATTCCCAAATTTTACACATAACTCAGGGTCAGGAAACTGCATTGATTCTGAGATGCAAAATATCAAAAATCATAATTATCACTCGTGCAAGAGTTCATACGATGCTTATTATTAAAGGTTTTATTCTATAAAACTTATAAGGGACAAATAGCAGAAAAAAACTCCAACAAACTAATAAAATGTGAGGTATTGTGGTGAAATCAGACGCTCATCAAAATAATGAAATCAAAGAAAAAGGCATTTTTCGTCCGGTTTTGCAATTTTTAAGGGGTTTTGTGTTGTTGGGTTGTTGGTTTTTTTTTGAAAAGGTGTGTTCGATGAAGAGGGAACAAATGTTGCATTCTTTTCATGGTGGATGTCTCTGTGTGTGGTTTTTTTTTGGGGGGGGGGGGTTTGGGGGGGCACTCATCACCTTTTACTTTTATGTTCATTATAACAGATATTTCTGAGAGGATTTTACAGGAATGTTTTTACTAGAGGCTAAAAAAATTACATTTTTAGATACTGAGGACTCTCAAACTATGGAAGTCACCAAACTTTGGGGATCATTTCTGGGGGGGGTTAATTTTACTTCTGAAACCAAATAACCCTCACATTCTTAAATCGAAAATATCTTAACTTCTATTCAGGATAAATGGGTAATTTTTGCACCCCAACCAAGACAAAGGAATATGCTTTAAGCTGATACCAATAACTCCACATGCCCAAAAATTGACAGGCGCCTGATTCCACAGCGTCGTGACACAAATCTATTTTTGCCTCAGTCAGGCAAAAATACCTTTTCCTGTCCAACCCGACAATTACAAGCTGGTAGAAAGTGCAGCACAAACATCCAAACTAGCCAAAACCCTGGGGTGCACACAGATTATTTTTCTCACTGCATTTCCTGAAAGGTAGATCTGGATATAATAAAAACAATCCCTCACATAAGCTGAAGCCTTGTTTCCATTTCTAGTGATCAAAGTGTGTCAGAACTGTCTTTTCCAGACAGATCCCTTATGTTAACTTCCATTATAAGCAAAAGAATCAATATGTGAATACCAGGAGTTGAACAAATGGGCTATAATTGCCAGCGAGGAATGTGAACAGGAAATGTACCAATGCCAAGACTTTTCCCCCAAGAATATGCAGTATATAACACAGATAGGTTAAACAGAAGACTCGAAATCACGCATCTGTTGAACTGTGCCTGCAGTCCCTTTTTTTCCCTCTTTATCTTTGTACGATATCCCTTGAACTACAGATCCCTCACTCTACAGAAGAGGTCGGTCCCGACAAATTTGAGCTATCCGTGTTTTACTGTATTTTCAAGTAGTCCTACCTATTTACCAACTCAGAACTTAGGAATTGGGAGAATAAAACGTTTTTTTCCAAGGAAATTATAACATCCTCATCAGGGCAATGATGGATCTGGAACTGTCATCTTTTTCACCCCCACTGTGACAGTCGTGACATATATACCCCAACTACTACTGCTGTATTGTAGCCATGACATGTCATTTCTAAAGGCCGTGTTATATTCTGAAGGGGAAGGAAAATTGACTGAATACTATTTGTCTATTATAAAACTGTTACTTCCTACAGAACAAATTCAGCTCTTGAATGAAGTTAGTTAATTGATTTCAGCACCAGATATTTTTTAATGCAAAAGAGATGAAGATGGGCCATGTTCCAGTCTGTGAGTGTAACTCCTCCTCACTCTCAGTTATAGAACTAGACTCAAACTCATATTACACTCATTGAGGCTGTTGAACACTTCAGTGAGTCATATTATACCGTCTTCACTACTTTCAAATTTACCTTTAACAGCTATTTTATCAAAATTAGTGCTGACACCAATGACAATTGCTCCCTTTCCTTTTTTTTCCATCAAACTGCCGTTTTAACATTTCTGTAAAGTCTATGCCTAGACAACTCCTAATCACTTTAAGGGTCAAGAACACTTGTTACATGGAATAAAAGTTTCTTAAATTTCTGATTACAAATAGTATGAATTTCATTGGGGTTTGATTCACGCCAAATAAATGGCTAATTTAATTTAAAACACTACAATGAAACACCAATAAAAGTCCCATTTCTAGCACAACTCATGTTCTATGCTCTACTTTACCACTACTACTGTGAGGGCTAACAACCAGTCCTGCACCACAATTGAATGTTCAAGTCTCACACAAAAGCAAAAATACAAACCTTCTAGGACATTTCGGAAAAGATGAACACATTGCAAAGAAGACTTCAGTCTCATTCCTTTTAATAACTTACCTTGAAAAAAGCTATCAACATTGCAGGGTTGTATATCTTGAAGACTATAGCTGCCACGACACACCAAGTCACTTAGGTGCCGAGACATATTGACAATTTTCCTCTGACCATCTTCCACACAAAGTAAATGAACGCAACAGTGACGAGATTTTGAAGTACCTGAGGAAGGAAAAAAGCAATGAATTTTTTTTCTTGTAAAGGCTGAATAATCCTGCTATAATAATAATAATAATATACACAGAGGCAAACTCTTTAAAAGTCCAAGAGGAACAGATCTTGAGCACTCGATTCAAGGGACAAAATGTCATGTTTTCTGTACACAAGGACATCTTTACTTATATACAAACAATGCAAGAATTATAAGTAGTAAAAAAAAAAGCAAGCTTGACTTGTGTATTCTTTATTCAAGTCCTGCTGCTTAAGTCATATAAAAGGTTATTTAAAATGTATATTGCCATAGCCCCTTTACACCTACATCTCTCAGATTCCAACAGTAACATTTTTAGTAATTCAGAGGTTTCAACATTTGTTGCAACTGTAACAATTATAATAATAACAAACCTGTTGAACGATGAACAAGAGGATGAGAAGATGAAAATAACTGGATATCGTAATGGGAGCTGTCGTGGCCCATCACATGCTCCTTACTTTCATCAATGTTTCTCTGTAGCAACAAACTGTTGCGCTTTATTTCACCTGCAAAATCCATGTTTATAATAAAGTGTCACAACATAATGATTAACCCATCTTTTTAAAGGGATAGATAGACCAAGCTTAACCACATGCAGACATCAGGTACAGTCAAATCTCGTTGTGTACCGCCACCCCAGCCTATCTACTAAAAACAATAGTATTGGCGCCTTTACACCGCCATCCGCAAACTGTCTCGGCTGTGCGGCCCTTATTAACTGCAAATTTACCCCATTACCACCAGTGAACTGCCCACCAGAACTACACACGCCGTACATGGCACATCCACTGGGAGGTCACTTGACAATATTTCAATTTCACCCTCTACGAGTTTGGCCTAGATCAAACACTTTTCGCCAATTTGGGCCTTCGCCATCCATCACACCTCCCCCCCCCCCTCCCGTCTTAATTAGTCTTGTAGACTTCAGACAATATAGATGGCTCTACAGTGATGTAGTGTACGGCAAACAAAGACAATACAACAAGGCTTACCATGTAGAAGAGTACTATTAGAATAAAACATACTTGTCATTACAAAAGCAACAAATTTCACGTCACATATGAAGCGCTGATTATGAGATGCTATCTTTAGGCCTTGGTCAATATTTTTTAGAAAATTGGAATTGAATTTTAAGTCACCTGAAGAAGCTAGAATTAAAGGAATCCAGCTATCTCAGCCTCCGTCAAAATATATGGCGTCGCTAAATATCAGCCCAAAATAACTTACTACAGGCTGGCTGTGGGGTTTTTATTTAGTGAGGACTCTCGCTCAAGTCTAAGTGACAGATCAAAGGGAGATTATAACGCATTACTTCATCAAGTGATTGGTAAACAAGTTCCTTACATTGGGCAGTCGGTGCTACATATGCATGGCATGTGTATTTAACAGAGGACATGAAAACCTCGCTGTACAGCCAGCCCCACTGCACCGCCAACTTCATACTTGTCCCAAGGTAAGCGGTAACGAGGTTTGACTTTACCAATCAGACAAAAATAAAAAAAGCTAACCCTGTGAGAACAAAACAGGTAGAAGAAAATTTTATAATTTTCTTTTTTCTTTTTTTAGTAGAGAGGGTTTTACGGCCCTCGCAACTGCATAAGGTCATATGAGCGCCAAGGGGTGGGTGTCAACAGAGAAGTCTTTACAGGGAATCAGACTTACTCTGTTCACCTCTCTAGCTTCAACAGCACAAAGTCTGCTTCGACTATCAAGTCACCCCGGAAATAGCAGGCCAAAAGAGTGCGACAAACATACAAAAGAAGTAAAGGAAAAATGACAATAGTAAGGATTAGGAAAGAAAAAGCAGCAGTTCCCTGTTGTAGATCAGCCACAGTTATGAGTGTGACATGATGAATCAGCCCATTTACAATTCTACTATGCTTGAACGAGAAATGTCCCCCCTTTGGGAATGGCCCAAAGACACTACAGTCAGTGGCACTGCCCCGGGGGGGGTTATTTTATAAATAAATGTAAAGAAACAGAAACTTTGATTTAGAGAAACGCACCGTGAACGTTTGACCCACCTCTTAGGGACAAATTTTTTCATAGTGGCAAACAAAACCATTGCACCCTATGCAGAATAAATTTATAATAATACAACAGTGGGTCAGTATTATAGGCTGTAGAAAAAAGCAAAGTAGGAGTGCACAACAAAACAATTTAAAAATTAGTGTATCGTTTTCGATAATAAAACTAGGCTTTAACCCATTCAATGCAGCAGGTAAATAAGCCCCTGTGTGGGGAAATCCCAAGAACCAAGGCGGCTCAGTGGTGACCCCACTCTATCTCCCATAAATTTTTTATTTATGAAATGAATATTTCCTCATGAATTTCTGTATATGTACATTCTACATTGAACCACTTTTCTATATTTAAAAAATTTTAGGGGGATTTCCTTGAGAGATAGAGATGGAGAAAAATTGGAGTTAGTAACATGATGCCCCCCTGACCTAAAAAGAAACGGGGGCGGGTTTCAGGGGGGCATGCCCCCCTGAATTTCACAATGATTTGATGATTTAGCAAAAGCTATCCTCACCCGGGGTGAGAATTAAAATACTATCGACCTCTCACCCCGGGTGAGACTTGCCACCGTTGGCTATTCTCACCCGGTGTGAAACAAGACCTGTTTTTCCTAATTTCGGAATACTTTCTATCGGTGTGGATGATGAAATGGATAAAAGCAAAGAAAAAATAACGTTATAGCACAAACGTAAGCTAATTTGACTGTCTACAAAGATGCTACGGCTATTTCACTTTTCGAATCGAGCCGAACTACGCGGGTCGCCATTTTGTTTTGCCCGGAAGTTCTCGCAAGATCTACTCCTCCCCTCTTCTCTCTCTCTGTCTCTTTCTGAATACTGTCTATCGGTGTGGGATCAAATTGACCAAAACAAAGTTTTAAAATTATGTTAAAACACAAAAGTAAATTAATTTGGTCGTCTACAAAGATGCTATGGCTATTTAACTTTCCGAATCGAGCCGAACTAAGCGAGTCGCCATTTTGTTTTGCCCAGAAGTTCTCGCGCTACTCCCCTCTCTCTCTCTCCACTGCCCACAGACAAAATTGTACGCTTTTAGGCTAACAGTAGTAATGGAATGTTTGTTCACAGCACAGAATTTTACAATTTTTCTGTTATCACAGTGTAGAATTCTGTGGTTCAGGGTGGACGCAAAATTGGTTGGCCTAGATCTAGGCTATAACGGTGAATGCACACCGCGTGAGAATAGCCAAAAGACTCGCCTGCGCTATTTTCACCCGGGGTGAGAATAGAGATGGCCTTTGGCAAATGAAATGTTCAATGGGGATTGATATTTACATGAAAACAATTGATTTGCAAGGGTTTTAGAGGCCACACGTGTGTTCTGCAGCAAAAATTATTGCAGTTTAGCCTTCATATCGATCAGAGTATCTGTGTGGGGGGGAAATTTAAAAGTAAAAATATACCAGTTACAAATTTAATATAAGGATTAGGAAAGAAAAAGCAGCAGTTCCCTGTTGCAGTTCAGGCAGTTAGCATGACATTGATAAATCAGTCCATTTACAATTGGAAGTGGCTATTCCTCACCCCGGGTGAGAATAAAATTACGATCGACCTCTCACCCTGGGTGAGACTTCCACCGTAGGCTATTCTCACCCGGTGTGAAACAAGACCTGTTTTGCTTAATTTCGGAATACTTTCTATCAGTGTGGATCATCAAACGGATAAAAGCAAAGAAAAAATGACGTTATAGCACAAAAGTAAGCATTTGATTGTGTACAAAGATGCTATGGCTATTTCCCTTTTTGAATCGAGCATAACCACGAGGGTCGCCATTTTGTTTTGCCCGAAAGTTCTCGCAAGATCTACTCCTCCCCTCTTCTCTCTTTCTCTTTCTGAATACTGTCTATCGCCATCGGTGTGGACGATCAAATTGACCAAAACAAAGTTTAAAAATGATGTGAAAACACAAAAGTAAATTAATTTGGTCGTCTACAAAGACGCTACGGCTATTTCACTTTTCAAATCGAGCCGAACTACGCGGGTCGCCATTTTGTTTTGACCGGAGGTTCTCGCGCTACTCCTCTCTCTCTACTGCCCACAGCCACAGACAAAATTGTACGCTTTTAGTTTTAGGCTAACAGTAGTAATGGAACGTATGCATAAGAACATGGTTAATGTCCAACCTTTGGGAATTACCTCCTAAAGATGCTTCAGTCAGTACCATCGCCCCGGGGGTAGACTAATCTAGATTCTAGACTAGATCTCTAGACTCTAGATCTACAATTACAATCAATGACAAATAAGACAGTGTGATACACTCACCGTTTATATCATAGATAGTAAGGTATGAGATCCCAAGAGAGACAGACCAAACAATCATGTTAGCCAGGTCTTTGAATGAGAAGTCATCCTCAGCAACAAGTAACCCAACATGCGACGGTAACTTCTTCAGTGATTTTGAATCCGACTGTATGGATAAAGGTGTCTGCGCAGATTTTCGGGCAAATACAAATGCTTGAGAAGGGGCAAAAAGTACCAGGTATCTCAGAAACTCTCCAAGTGCTATCAAATAATGCACTAGTCTCAGCAGTATTGTCCTCATCTTCGTATTAGTTTTCCCTTCAGCACAACGACCAGTATCTGACGAAATGGTTCATAGTTCAACCCAAACAAACTGGAAGGAAACCACTCGTGCCGACTGTCGCGAACCGGCAGTAGATGCAACAACTTCCGTAAAAGAAGACACGGAGATAATATCAGTGGGTCAGCTATTTGTGTAAATTTCAAAGGTAGAAGGCAAAATGGAAGTTTAAAATTATTCGCGGAGACAGAAGTATTAAAAAGTATAGTCTTGATGCCTGAAGACATTTATTCTGAATAATATATATTGATTATATTTTCCATTAAACTTCTGCATAGAATGTATCAGACAGATGTTGTAATTTCATTGGTTCACACAAGTTTCCCCCTCTATTTCCTTTCCCTGGGAGACCACGCCCACTTGTCAGCTGTGTTTGAGAAATACAATAATATACAACCTCTTTAAAATAAATACTCAAAAAAAAATCAATGTATGTGCGTTTATGTGTACGCATGTGTGTAAGCATACTCGCGTGTGAAAGTGTGTGTGTGTGTGTGTGTGTGTGTGTGTGTGTGTGTGTGTGTG